ACAAATATTAACAAAGTTCCCAAATAATAATAATAGTATATATAGTCATTATATTTTATTTAATGAGGAGTGACAAATTAAATGCACTAAGAAGGATGGTAGAAGCAGCCTCCATAAACAATTCCATGTGTAGATATGACAGAACTCCGTAGATATAAGTACCAGTAGATATAAGCACCTCCAAAGGATACCTGATCAACCAGGCTCTGACTCGTACGTCAGGCTGCGAGCAGCCGCGTCCAACAGCCTGGTTGATCAGTCCGGCAACCAGGAGGCCTGGTCGACGACCGGGCCGCGGGGACGCTAAGCCCCGGAAGCACCTCAAGGTAACCTCAAGGAAAGGAACTGAACACGCTTGTAAACCTGCACTGCAGTTGACTGAACGTTGAGAGTTTGGATCAAAGAGCTGGAGCTCAACCCCGCGAGCACAGGTAAGCCCACACACAAGGACTGTCATCCATGGTGGGAACAAGAATAAACAACAGTGGTTACAGATAATTTATTAACAACGAGTAATCAATAAGTAGACTAAGTGTGAAAAGAAAGCGGTGTAGGCAGCCTTCACACACTGCTTTGCTACCAGGTGATTGTGGGGTGAGAGGCAGAGCCCAAGACCTGGAGCTCAGTCCCCGAAAGTGCAGCTAGATGAGCACACACACACACACACACACACACACACACACACACACACACACACACACACACACACACACACACACACACACACACACACACACACACACTCTGTACTCGGTCCTATCTTGTTTCTGATATATGTAAATGATCTCCCGGAGGGTATCGATTCATTTCTCTCAATGTTTGCGGACGATGCTAAAATTATGAGAAGGATTAAAACAGAAGAGGACTGTTTGAGGCTTCGAGAAGACCTAGACAAGCTGAAGGAATGGTCGAACAAATGGTTGTTAGAGTTTAACCCAACCAAATGTAATATAATGAAGATAGGTGTAGGGAGCAGGAGGCCAGATACAAGGTATCATCTGGGAGAGGAAATTCTTCAGGAGTCAGATAAGGAAAAAGACTTGGGGGTTGATATCACGCCAGACCTGTCCCCTGCAGCACATATCAAGCGGATAACATCAGCGGCATATGCCAGGCTGGCCAACATACGAACGGCATTCAGAAACTTGTGTAAAGAATCATTCAGAACTTTGTATACCACATATGTCAGGCCAATCCTGGAGTATGCAGCCCCAGCATGGAGTCCATATCTAGTCAAGGATAAGACTAAACTGGAAAAGGTTCAAAGGTTTGCCACCAGACTAGTACCCGAGCTGAGAGGTATGAGCTACGAGGAGAGACTACGGGAATTAAACCTCACTTCACTGGAAGACAGAAGAGTTAGGGGGGACATGATCACCACATTCAAGATTCTGAAGGGAATTGATAGGGTTGATAAAGACAGTCTATTTAACACAAGGGGAACACGCACAAGGGGACACAGGCGGAAACTGAGTGCCCAAATGAGCCACAGAGATATTAGAAAGCACTTTTTTAGTGTCAAGAGTGGTTGACAAATGGAATGCATTAGGCAGTGATGTGGTGGAGGCTGACTCCATACACAGTTTCAAGTGTAGATATGATAGAGCCCAATAGGCTCAGGAATCTGTACACCTGTTGATTGACGGTTGAGAGGCGGGACCAAAGAGCCAGAGCTCAACCCCCGCAAACACAACTAGGTGAGTACAACTAGGTGAGTACAACTAGGTGAGTACACACACACACACACACACACACACACACACACACACACACACACACACACACACACACACACACACACTCACACACACAGATATACACTCCATACACAGTTTTAAATGTAGATATGATAGAGCTCAGAAGGCTCAGGAATCTATACACCAGTTGATTGACAGTTGAGAGGCGGGACCAAAGAGCCAAAGCTCAACCTCCGCAAGCACAAATAGGTGAGTACACACAGGTTGGTAGGAGTGAGAAGAAACCTAGCACAAACATTAGAAAAGTTACATGTTTATGATCAACATAACTTTTACTGCCACATTCTCATCTCGTCCAAGTCATTTCCTAAAATGTTCACATGAAAATATGTATCCGGTCGTGTGGGGAGCGGCCAGGTCGGCTCCAATCACTCTCTCAAACAAGGAAGCTAACGCCCCTGAAACTGTACCAAATAGAACCATGAGGACCATCCCAATGACACCAAAATGGACGGAAACCAAATATTAAGCCAGTTAGAACCAGAATCCAAACCTCTTAACATCCCTAGCAGTCAAGGACTTCAAAAACCGATAAAGGATACAGCAAAAAAAAAAAAAAAGATTGTAGAAGTAAAAGACTTTAAGTTACTTCAGAACAATTGAACTTGAACGTTCACTCTAATTACGCACACCGTACTCTGGAGTCTGTAAAAAAGATCCATCCTGTTAACCTAACCTAACCTAACCTAACCTACCTAATCTAACCTACCTAATCTAATCTAACCTAACCTAACCAGCCGGAGTTCGGTTTCATGAATAATGCATTAATAAGCACTAAAAATAACAAAGTTCTGTGATGAAACAAAAAAATTAATAAATAACTTGGAGCCACTAAGGAATCGCCCTCAAAAAATTACTTTTAGCACTGTCAGATAAAATATAACCTCAGGTATATTTTAGCTCAGACTTTACTGTACGTCATTTTTTTTTACTAACGCAACCAACGTGTTAATAATGCGACGTATTAATAAAACGGGCAGCACCGTTACATAGACGTTTTCCGCGAATTTAGTAAAATAGACAAATTACTATATAGACGCACATATAAAGATCTGTGAACAAAATGTTGCTTTATTTTTTAAGAACAGAAACGAGAAATATATTCAACTCTGCTTCTTAAACTTGGCAATCATCTCCCGGAGATTTACACACACACACTCGCGCGCGTACATAAACACTCACGCTCGCGTACACACACTCACGCGCACGTACACACACACACACACACACACACACACACACACACACACACACACACACACACACACACACACACACACACACACACACACACACACACACACACACACACACTCACGCGCACGTACACACACACACACACACACACACACACACACACACACACACACACACACACACACACACACACACACACACAAGGGTCTCGCGGCCCAGTGGACAGCGCTCTGGGGTCGTAGTCCTAAGGTCCCGGGTTCGATCCCCGACAGAGGCAGAAACAAATTGGCAGTGTTTTTTTCACCCTGGTGCCCCTGCTCACCTAGTAGTAAATAGGTACCTGGGAGTTAGACAACTGTTACGAGCGGCTTCCTGTAGATGTGTGTGTGTGTGCGCGCGCGCTTGTGTTAGAAAAAATATATGTTGTAGGCATTAAAGAGGAAAAATAAATTGGTTAGAAAGGCGGGGCCCAAGAGCTAATAGCTCGATTCTGCAGATACAAATAACAAATAGATACAAATAGTAAACACACACACACACACACACACACACACACACACACACACACACACACACACACACACACACACACACACACACACACACACACACACACACACACACACACACACACACACACACACACACACAAACACTCCCATTCACGTAACATTTGACCTACAGTTTTTCATATTCACACATCTTGCACAAAAAATTTCACTCTTAGGTCTTATTTGACTCTTTTACGTCTCTTATGTTACACGTATTTACTCTTATTTCACAAACAGATGTATAATACACCGCTGATCAAAGCTAGAGGCATACATTTATCCAAAAGTATATAAAGTCGTCTCCAAGCACATATTTACTTACCTACATAGATATAATTGAGCCTGAATGTACAAACAAAAGCAACCCACCTAAACTATCGACACCGGTAGATAGTACCGGTAGATAGACGACGGTAGATAGTATCGGTAGATGTCAGTATTACGTTGTTAGCTTTTTAATAATACATCGTATTTCCGACGTATTAGAGATGAGGACTGTTTGCTCCACTACCTACAGTCGTTCGCTAATCGTTTACTGAAAGGATACCTCGTGAATGTTGGACTTTGCGTGTGTCTGAAATTCTGGGAACCAAATGTATTCACATGGAGATATGTACAAGCAGCATAATAATTACTTAGCCAGGTTTAGCTACAGCAGCGGGCACCGTGACAGAGTTATGATCTGTGGTATTTGACATGTAGTGATCGCTCACAGCTGACTTCCGCGAAGGTTCATTGGTTCTCCAACCAACTAAGCGCGGGGGCGCTGGCCAATGAGCGCTGAGCTCAGGACGCAGCAACTGTACACTTACATTGTCTATGTCACGTATTTCCCGTGGCATGGGGCTTTTATTGACACAAAGGCACGTAATTGTGAAGGTACGACTTGTGTAAAACAGGATACACACACACACACACACGTTAACACGTGAAAGATGTTAATCCTCCACAGACTGCGGTCCTGTAACTAACGAAATTCGCCCATTAATTCCTCGGTAGCGCTTTCCATATGACGCCGCAGCGAAATTCGTTTCGAGAGAGATTTTGTCGTAATGATGCGGGCTGCCCGCACTCAAGCGGTGTAGCAAATGCGTGAGTCAGTCGAGTGTGAGAGAGGTGTTGTTTGTGGCCGGCGCTGTGCTCTCTAGCAGGTAATGTGGCAGAATGACCTGTTTCTCTCGTGGAGGTATTCCATCCGGCCCTCCTGGGTGGATGTTCATGTGGGGGGGTAGCAGTGCCAGCCTGGTTAGGAGGGGGGGGGGGGGGTTGGAGACCGTAGGCTGACCTCGCGTGACCCTGGATGGGGGCGTGAGCTGGTGTGTGTCCAGGGGTAGGGAGGGAGGGTGGTATTGCACGTGGTGAAGGACGTGTGGGGATGTTGCGGGGTGGTGCACGTGGTGGTAGTGAAGGGGTGTGCGCGGCGGGGGTGCGCGGGGGGCACTGGCAACCCTGTGGTGGCCGGGGCGGGCGCGGGCTCACCGTCGCCCTCACACGGCCGCGCGCCGCCGCCTGCCCCACACCGCTGTGTTAGTACACTCACCGCTAGCGCTCCTGCGGCACCTCACACGCCGCATCTCTTTCCTCCCGCACTTGTAGCCACAGCAGCGACGCAGGTGTGCCAGCCAGCAGCGGCGGCCCGGCCTTCCCACCAGTGTCCTTACTCCAGTGCCTCTACTTGCCAGCGTTGAAGTTCCGACGCGGCTCTCGTCTCCGCCCGCGACTAAAAACATTCCGCCCACCCAGGATACAACCCTTCTAGTGCCTGATAAAAATAAAATAATTTTTCCTCCCCCCCCGACCTTAATTACCAGAGATTGTTGGGCCGGTAGGAAGTGCGGAAGTCCAGCCTACCTGGCTACCGTCGCCACAATACCTGTACACAGGAGCACCAACAACACTGCCCCTTGCGCTGACCTGCCATCCGGGCCCCCCGACCCCACGCGCCGCCCGACATGAGATGATTTGTGTTTTGTGTGATTTTGTGTGAAAGTCGTGGGAAAATTTTGACAAGTTGTGCCAAGGAGAGTAGTGTCGTGGAGCGGTCGCGCTGTACAGTTGCTGGGTAAAGGGGAGCGACCACAATACCAGGTGAATTTGATGTGAATTGGGGTGAGAATTTGGACAAAAAAGGCCAAACACGGAGGCTTGTCTGGCCATTTATCAAACGCGAGAAGTCACCGCCGGGAGAAGGGGAGGCCTAAAAAGAACCAAGCCCGACAATTTATTTTAATCAAAGAAAATATATAAAGGTGACAGGTTTGAAAAAGTTTCCCGGTAATACTACAAGTTTCCGTCTTTAGTGGTGCTGCAGTGATCAGGAATTCCTGGTATGAGAAGGTCACAAGGAAACAGCATCTCCTCCAGCGCTCACCTCGCCTCTAATACCCCACCAAAAAGTGATTTACTCAGTGCAATTCATTGATTCCCGGGCAAAGTGGAATTAAATCAGGTGTACTCTGAAATAATTAATAGCTCTATATTTTGTATACATGTGCTTTGTGTGAGAGTGAAGCAGAAAGGTGTGAGAGGAGAGGTAAAATATCCCCCTCTCACTGTGGGGTGGTGAGCGTCTGTAGCGAGGAGAGCTGTATGCGTACATAGCACGCCCGCCCCTCCAAGCCTTCACTACCATAGGTAAGCCTCTCTTGCTATGTTAACAGTCTCACGCTCACGGAGCCAGGCTGTGTCTCCTATATGTGAGTCTATATCTCAGGGATGATGTGATGTGCACTCACTGTTGCACACTCTACTGTGAAATATAAACTTAATATTTAATATTCCCACTCAAAATTATCATTTCACGACAAAAACTAAATTTACTTAAGCCAAAACATCAGAGGCTTAAGTGTTATCTTTATATTGGATTACAGTTATTTTTTATCGATATTAAAAAAAATATTCAATTTTCCTACCCAGTAGCATTGGAAAAATCAAATTAATCAACAGAAAATAAATTTTAACATCGAGAAATATTTAGTTTAGACTAATAACTCAATTTAATCCAATAAATGAGAACCTTAATGAAAGCTTGTGTGTATGAGAACGCCATACACAAGACCACTGACTCAACAAGTTGTCGAGAGCACCAACATGGCGAGGACAACCCGCTACCACCGGGCTATGTATATTATGTTCCCTATGTAGGCTGCGTGTATTCTGTGCGCTGTGTAGGCTACTTGTATTCTGTGCCCTGTGTAGGCTACGGGTATGCTGTGCGCTGTGTAGGCTACGGGTATGCTGTGCTCTGTGTAGGCTACGGGTATGCTGTGCTCTGTGTAGGCTACATATATTCTGTGCGCTGTGTAGGCTACGGGTATGCTGTGCGCTGTGTAGGCTACGGGTATGCTGTGCTCTGTGTAGGCTACGTGTATTCTGTGCCCTGTGTAGGCTACGGGTATGCTGTGCGCTGTGTAGGCTACGGGTATGCTGTGCGCTGTGTAGGCTACGGGTATGCTGTGCGCTGTGTAGGCTACATATATTCTGTGCGCTGTGTAGGCTACATATATTCTGTGCGCTGTGTAGGCTACATATATTCTGTGCCCTGTGTAGGCTACATATATTCTGTGCGCTGTGTAGGCTACATATATTCTGTGCGCTGTGTAGGCTACATATATTCTGTGCGCTGTGTAGGCTACATATATTCTGTGCCCTGTGTAGGCTACATATATTCTGTGCGCTGTGTAGGCTACATATATTCCGTGTTCTATGTAACGCCGTCACAAGAAACCAATACACCTCTATAATTACCGAGCTTAGAAAATGTACATGTTTAATAAACGAAGATGTAATCCTGGCTTCGGAGATAATCTCTCAATCTAAAAAGACGACGAAATGAATTTATACGGTGTGAAACAAGGTGTGGTCACACGAACAACACAAGTGTATAGCGGTGAGACCCGATACTTACACCGCTAGTTATTTCCTTGTTATTAGCATTCTGAACGTTCCGAGTATGATTCATGCGTGAGGTGTAAGTGGCAGTATCCTGTGGGAGTGTTGCGACGCCTCATCAGGAGAGAGTCACACCGGAAATGTGAGGGGATTTAGTCGTGCAAGGGTGAGATCACGACTCCAGAACCCGAGGATCTTGATGCCTGGGTTCTGGTGATTATGAAAATCGTATGTGTCGAGTCTAATTCAATTCCCACCTATCAAATAATATATGTAATCGGTGGGGGGATAATTCCAGGAAGTGCGTCAAAAAACTTAGCTAAAGACTAATGGACACGCAAACACATCGAACAAATATATTTTATTATTTCTAGTAGAGGAAAATTACACTTTTGACAAACAAGTCTGTGATTACTGTACTTGGTGGAAGATAAGTGGTCATGCCATATACTCATTCCCGTCAGTACTGTGACTCTGACATCACCACCACTTAACACCGCCGTCTGTAAGTAGCATTGATGTCATCTCCACCATCGTCAGTAGCATTGATGTCATCTCCATCGTCAGTACCATTGATGTCATCACCACCACCGTCAGTAGCATTGATGTCATCTCCACCACCGTCAGTAGCATTGATGTCATCTCCACCATCGTCAGTACCATTGATGTCATCTCCACCACCGTCAGGAGCATTGATGTCATCTCCACCACCGTCAGTAGCATTGATGTCATCACCATCGTCAGTAGCATTGATGTCATCTCCACCACCGTCAGTATAGCATTGATGTCATCTCCACCACCGTCAGTAGCATTGATGTCATCTCCATCGTCAGTAGCATTGATGTCATCTCCACCACCGTCAGTAGCATTGATGTCATCACCACCGTCAGTAGCATTGATTTTATCTCTATCGACAGTAGCATTGATGTCATCTCCATCGCCAGTAGCATTGATGTCATCTCCATCATCAGTAGCATTGATGTCATCTCCATCATCAGTAGCATTGATGTCATCTCCATCATCAGTAGCATTGATGTCATCACCACCGTCAGTAGCATTGATGTCATCTCCACCACCGTCAGTAGCATTAATGTCATCTCCATCGTCAGTAGCATTGATGTCATCTCCACCATTGTCAGTAGCATTGATGTCATCTCCACCACCGTCAGTAGCATTGATGTCATCTCTTCCATCGTCAGTAGCATTGATGTCATCTCCACCATCGTCAGTAGCATTGATGTCATCTCCACCATCGTCAGTAGCATTGATGTCAACAACCATCGCTACTAACACGTTCACTAATGTCATCAACAACACTATTAGGTGTACCTCTATGATCACTAACATACTCCACCACCATCGCCAACCACATACCATCATTAGCAACCACATACCACCATCACCAACCACTTACCACCATCATTAACTACATACCACCATCACCAACCACATACCACTATCAACAACAACACAACCACCATCAACAACAACACAACCACCATCAACAACCACATAACCATCATCAATAACCACATAACCATCATCAATAACCACATAACCAGCATCAACAACCACATAACCACCATCAACAACACAACCACCATCATCAACCTTATACCACCATCAACAACCACATACCACCATCAGTAACAACACTGCCACCATTAGTAACATCACTAACAACAACATTAACACCACCATCAGTAACAACACTACCACCATTAGTAACATCACTAACAACAACATTAACGCCACCATCAGCAACAACACTACCACCATCACCACTACTTATTACAAGCCTACTAACTCCACCGGTACCCCTAATCACTAACTCATCCATCAGTACCTCCCTTAACCACAACTATCACCACCATTACGGGCTCACTATAAAACAACAACAACCACCACCCCTTCCATCAACCCAGCCCAACCACTATCCTAATAGCCATTACCACAACCACCACATCCGCTATCACTATCACCACTAGCAACAGCACCTCATTCATAATAGGAGCACCACCATTGGAACATGTTGGTGTTGGAGAATGTGTGATGGATGAGCCTACCAGCTGCGGGACATGATGAATTAAGAGACTCCGGTGATTCCCAGAAACAAAGAAGTTGACAGTCATTTCATGTATCACGTGAGTTTGGCGTCACGCTTCCCAAACATTTTTGAAGGGACGGAAGTTTTCTCTGACCAACGCCAACTCCCTCAGAAGAAAAACGAGGCTTCGTGAACTGTCGTCAACAATAAAAGGGAGAATTAGAAGTTTGCGTGGAGACTTTTTCATTAATAGAATGTAAATATACACGTATCCCTTCGTAGACGACGATACACGATACACAAAATTAATTTTCGTGAAAGCAGATGACACCAAGAAATTGCAAGGCAAAGGCCCGTCTCCCAGCGGCTTCCATCAGGGATATGATTTAATTATATACATCAGAGCGCTGAAAGACAAATATATGCTTGCAGTCTCCCCTATAGTATATTTGACTCTCGTTTTTCATTAGCAGATTAACAAAATATTATGTTACCTTACTGCAAGGATTTGAATTAAGAAATTACTACCTTCCAAAAGACTTGATAGAATGAAGGACACATCAACTCCCTGACCAATTTGATCATGTTGGCAATTATCACGTATTAATATGACAGAGGGATGTAACATTATATTATTAAACTAGGTATGTTAAATACGATATGATGGATAGTGATATGGACCTCGTATATCTTATGGATCTCGTCTGTCTCATGGTCTTCGTCTGTCTCGGCTTAAAATTAATCAGTCAGGAATATCCTAAGGTAATCCGTGGCTTGGACAGGAAGTGGGTGTCTTCTTCCCAGTGATTATCACACTCTGATACAACCCAAGAAAATTAATGACAAATAACCTACAATAGCCAACTGGACGAGGTAAGAACGCTTAACTTGGTGGATATTTTCTTCCTTCACATAACTGCCATTTGTCACGAGATTTTCCGCTTTTATCGCAAAATAACAAGAATTTGTGTATATCCGTGATAGAAACGACACCGCATTCGTCCAGCAATATTAATGTTTATGGAAAAGTTCCTACAAACGACCAATTCCCGAAATGGATTACCAGTGCGTGCCTGAGTCCAGTTTCTCAGCGCCACGACAGTTTCCTACGGGTGTTCAACTTTTATGAGCCAAACTCGAGTGATGAGTTTATAACCTAAATTAGAATGTGTTATCCTCGTGTTGGACAATCATTAGCGTTCACCAAACTTTTTTTTATCCTAATTTTATTTCACGTTTGGTTGGATTTTCTGATAACTACCCTTGACGAGGCTTCACTAGAGCGAGTTTAGTCAAGGGATGTAATTTGTCAGCAGTCGAAATTATAGCATTATCGTAGTAAGGTAAAATTATCGCAAAAGAGAGAATTGCGGGGAGTTAATGGAGGTGCGAGTAGTGTGTTTGGAGCGCGGTGTTATTAGGGGATAATGTGTTGTATTGATCTGGCAAGCCTGTGGAAATGTGTAGGTACTTTGCTAGCCATTTGGCTCATTAATAAATGTTCCAGGAATAGTCATATTTCGGGATTAGTGATACACAATTGACGTTCCACAAGAGTAGAGCATTTGCCAAATGTGTTCATTTGACTGGAAAGAAACGTAATCATGATTAATGCATAAATTACACAATTATAACTCTCCTCGCTGTTCCTGTGAGCGGATTTTAGATGTAATTTTTTAATGTCTAGCAATAGTGA